CCCAGCCCCTGCCTCTTTAAACACTTTGGGGCATATTTCCCTAAAACACGTGGATATAGCAACCCCGTGCCCTTGTATGCAAGGATGACCAACAATTAAATTCTTGTAGATGCATTGAAAACAATGCTGTGGGAGAAAGGAAGAGATGGCCATTTATTGAGTGCCTACGGAGTGCCAGGAACATGAGACATTTTATCTTACTGAATTCTCAAAAAAAAACCCAACATTTTTTAAATGTCTTGACTACCTACTACAATGATAGTATAGTCTCACATTCAAGAAAATGAATCCTAAGACCTCAGCTGGGATCTAGGCTCTGCCATTTGTTAGCTGTGTGATTCTGGGCAATTACATTTCTGTGCCTATTTCCTCCACAGCAAAGTGGAAATAAGTATCTACCTCACAGCATTTTAATGAGGATTAACATATGTAAAATGCTTGAAACAAAGCCTGGCTCCATGTGTGTGTTGTTATTACTGCATGCAGTGGGTCTACCTTATGGGCAGTATATTGTGTCCACTTTACAAATAAGGACAGGGAAGCTTAGTGAACTGATATAACTTGTCAGGGGACACACAGCTTGTGCAGGACAAAGAGAGATTTGGAAGAGGGCTATATACAGTTCCCAAGAGCTTTCCATCACCCACCAAAGTCAAAACATATTTTTACTACTGGGTTTCTGTCCCTCAAAGAGATTGCAGACAGTCACACAGGAAGGGCTGTGTAAGTGTCTCATCAGAAATAGTATTGAAGCCCTGGCTGGTGTGGCTCAGTTGGTTGGGTGTCATCCCCTGCCGGTTGGATTCCCTGTCAGGACACATGCACAGGTTGCAGACTGGATCCCAAGATAGGGGTGTGCAAGAGGCAGCAGATCACTCTCACAGGGATGTTTCTCTCTCCCTCTCCCTTCCTCTCTCTAAAAATCAATTTTTAAAAATAAAATAAATATATTATTGAAAATATTCATCCTTCAACTAATAAACCCTGTGGAAGGCAGGATGGTTTAGGAAGGCAGCTGGGTCAAGTCTTCTTTGGGCTTAGGCAGGAACCTGAAGGTAAGAAATGGTTCCCTGGAAAACAAAGGATTAGTCACAGGAAATGGTGATGGGAGGAGGGTGGAAGGCAAAGAAGGGAATTTTGATGGAAGCTAGGAGTTTATCCAGGACTAAGACCAGGAGGGAAACGATAAAGGCTGGGATTTCTGGAGGCTGCTTATCTGGATGGTGGAGCTCAGATAGGATGAGTCCAGAAGGGCAAGGATGGGCCATAGTGACTCCAGACAAGGGACAAGCAGGGGGCTTTTTAGACCCTTTGGAGTCTTTACTTCCTTTCACACTTTCCTTTCAGCTGCAAAGTAAACTGGGAGCCTCAGAGGATGGAACAAAAAGAAGACGAAGGGGCTAGTAGTCTAGGAGTCGCACTCCTGAGAGAAGTGAGTAAACAGCGCACAGCCCTGGGGCGTGGGAGCCTCCCTTGTGCTGTGTGCTCTGGATAGAGAAAGCCAGTGAGGTAGAGAGCAAGACAAGTGCCCACGTAAATTAGATTTTTAGGCTGCATTTATCTACACAACTGGGGGTGAGGGGGAATAGAGGAGGGTGGCTGAATTTTCTGGAAACTGATTTCCACTTAGTTTTGCTGGATTGTTTTGCCCTAGAAGTCAACAGAGAGCCTTACTAGGTCCTTTTTCCTGAACGAGATAGGTTTGTCCCAGACTCTGAGGAAACCCCACAGCAGGAGGAGGAAAGGGTCATTGGCCCTGGGGAATAAAAGCGGCCTAAGTGCCCACTGAAGGAAAGGCTAGCTACCAAAATTCAAGGGAAATTATGGGAATATTCGCATTGCACACATCACATCGTTCGCTTTAGTGTTTCAACTCAGGATAGAATCGAATTTGTGTTTTAACAGCAAATTAATTATAAAAACAAATATGCTCTAATAAATTAAATTCCTTATGAACATATCCTTGTAGTTAAGGTTCATCTGGTGTTTTTTTGTTTGTTTGTTTTTTTCCTTTAACATGGGATAGGATGGCTTAAAAAATCTTAACACCAAGGCAAATTCAGCCCTTGGCATGCTTGTGGGGGCGCAGAAGAAGACTCGAACAAGGTGACCAGTGTCCTCCAGGCGGAACCGCACGCGGTAAGGACTTGAAGAGGGAAGAGGGTAGAGGAGGACCTCCAATATCAGCGAGGGCTATCAGGACGTTCTACTAATAAACGACTTTTTCGCTGTCCACACTATAATTGGTTTACAGCCTTTCTTGTTTATTTATCCATAAGAGCTGCTGTTAAATGGCTCGGGAAGGCCGCGCTCGGCTAATGGCTCTGTGACGCTCTGGGCCAGTGGGAGGTGAAAGGGGCGCAGGCGTCAGCGGGGATGCGGAGCGGAAACGCATTCACCTGTAATGGACTTGGCGATTTTATGATACCAGGAGCTACACGCGCAGGAGACATTAACACGGGACCTTGCTTAGCGGAGGGCTCTAGGGCTGAGGTTTTTCTGTATAAATGTAGGTTATATTAGTAATTAGCCAACCCAATATAGTCAGCTTTGTCCCACCTGAGACTAACACTAAATGGCTGTTTGATCTTGGCTGCCTGGCTCACTTCTCTGGGTAGCAAAGCAGCAAGACAGGCCGTGTGCGGGGAGAACGTGCCCCTTCAGCACCCGGCTGCCGGCGCGTGGCCCTCCTGCGCGGTGAGTGGGTTTGCTTTCTGCTGAGCGCCTCTTCTCTTTCCGCAGGACCGAGCAAAAACAGTAAATGGGAGCAAATGAAGCAAAGAAATGGAGACCAATTTACAGAAACGTGCAATTAGGGAGAAGTGCAAAGTAAACACTCTGGGTCGAGGGTGGCAGCGGAGGCCGACAGCAAGAGAGGGGGCTGCCGACCCGCCGGAGGGGGAGGGGCGCGTTGCCGAGGGAGGGGGTGGGACGCGGAGACCGGAGAAGGGGAGGGGAAAGTGGCCGATCTTTGTCCCGAGCGGAGCTGGCCGCCGCCCGCTCATAACCGCGTCGCCAAGTCGACCCACCGTGACTTGGCAGATTATCTCCGAGGGTCAACACGCCGCGGCCAGGCAACCCCCTCCGGCCCTGCGCTCCTGATCGAAGTAGCCACTCGCGGCTCGGCGATTGGTGATAGCGGCGGGTTCTCCTCGTTCTCTGACTCCAGGAACAATGAACTCTTTGACTCGGGGGCCTGCGGAGATTAGGTGCGCAGGTCCCACAGCCTTTCAATCCCTGCCCCCCCCCCCAGCAGGTGGTCCTTTTCCCTAAAGAAATCCCTGAACTCCCCACCCCCCATCCCGGGCGTCCTGGTAGCTACGCGAATTCCCAGACTCGCGCGGACCACTCGATACAGAGCACACGCCAGTTCTGAGGTCTCTGCAGAGAAGTCAAATCCCACCTTGGTTTTTGCTTAGTGCACTCAGTCCGTGTGCATTTAAAACAAATATGTCTACCCTGGCCGGCGTGCTCGCTCGGTTGATTGGAGCGTCCGCCTGTAACCAAAGGGGTTGCGGTTCCATCCCCGTCAGGGCACCGCAAAAGCCAGCAGGTCTCTCCCTCTCTCTCTCTCTCTCTCTCTCTCTCTCTCTCTCTCTCTCTCTCCTCTTCCTCTCTCGACAGTTTTTTAAAAAACTGTAAAACAAATATTTTTCACAGGAAAAATGTATTAAAATATACTTGTTAAAGGACTGGGTGAGTTAGTACGTGAGGAAGGTCACATGGCAGTGATTTTTCTCTTGCTGGCTCCTTGTGCTTCACGCTCCCTCTTGCCTAAGCTTTTCTGCAAAGGTGTCTAGTTTTTCTAAAACCCCACGTTGCGGTTCCAGGAATGTGTTCATTTCGGCAGGACCCAGTCTGAGGCCGCCCAGGACCCACCCTCAGGGCAACATGATCAGAGGCGGCGGTCAGCAGGGGGTGGGTGCCACGAGAGCCGGAGAGGGGCAGTCCGCGCCTTCGGGCCGGAAAAAGGCGTCTCTATTTAAGTCAGGACCCCAGAGTGCCCAGAAGCTACCCAACCCGTGGAAGCGAAAAGCTGTCGTTGCCATAAAAACGCTTTTATTTCTTTTGTAAACACTGCCCACATCTCCTGGTGCTGTGTCCAGCTGACGGACTCCGCGGGCCCGGATGATCCGGATCCGTGGAGAGCCGTCAAGGGTCTGGAAACTCCGGGCCAACCCCCTGCTCCCGCCTCCCAGCCACAAGAGGGGACGCTACTTCTTGCCCCTGCCACGTTAAGAAACCATTCTGAGTTGACGGAATGAGCCCCAATTTATCTAAATCAAAATTAACAATGCCTAATGATTTTTTAAATTAAAAAGCCACCGTGAATGCTTCAGAAGTTAGTTTATTCTTCAGAACTTCCACAGCACAGCCACAGATAAAAACATACAACGAATGCTGGATCTGTGTGTGCTAGCTCCTGGAACCCTTGGTGGCTGCGTGCAAAATGCGTAGACAAAATAGAACGAGCTGCGTCCGACCTTTAGAGCTGGGATCTCTAAGCTTTTTTGACCATATCCCCTAACAAGTTTAAGTGTACAACCTCATCATGTAGAAATATATTTACTAATATATTATGTGCATTATCAAACATACAAGGAAAATAGATCGTTTAAAATCTGATGGAACTTCTTCTATAACTGAAGAGACTTCTAAGATTTTCATGCGCGCCCCACTTTGTAGAGAGCTGCCAATTGCGCTGCAGGTGTGTGCAGTACACGCAGCTGAGAGAAAATCGAAACAACGGCGGGGCTCGCGGGGACCTGGGCCTCGCTTCTTAAGGCAGTCAGGCCGGCCAATAATGGCCCCAGGCCGAGCCACGTGGGCCACAGCGGAGCCTATGGCGGGGCAGCCGGCCAGCGAGTCCCCGCCAGCAGCGGGTTCTCTGAGAGCAGAGCGAAGCTGTCAAAAAGAGTAGGGGTGGCGCCGGGAGTGGGAGAGCTGCACAGCTCCGAGTCCCCGGCTCCAGGTCCCCACTCTGGGTCCTCAAGCCCGGGTGGCAGCCATGAACGGCGAAGAGCAGTACTACGCGGCCACGCACCTTTACAAGGACACATGCGCGTTCCAGCGGGGCCCGGCGCCCGAGTTCAGCGCCAGCCCCCCGGCGTGCCTGTACATGGGCCGCCAGCCCCCGCCGCCACCGCCTCCGTTCCCCGGCGCCCTGGGCGCGCTGGAGCAGGGCAGCCCGCCAGACATCTCCCCGTACGAGGTGCCCCCCCTCGCGGAGGACCCCACGGTGGCACACCTCCACCACCATCTCCCTGCTCAGCTCGCGCTCCCCCACCCGCCCTCCGGGCCTTTCCCGGATACAGCCGTGCCTGGCGCCCTGGAGGAGCCCAGCCGCGTCCAGCTGCCTTTCCCATGGATGAAGTCTACCAAGGCTCACGCGTGGAAAGGCCAGTGGGCAGGTAAGCCTGGACCCGGCCCCTCTGTCCTCACCCTCTCTCCCGGCTGCCCCTACCTCCGATCACTCCGCAGGACCTCTCCGAGCTCCTGTTCCAGCCCCTACGGATAAGCCGGGGTCGGAGTAAAGTACACAGGGAGCAACGAGGCCATACCGCACGGACGCGCTTTTCTAGTCCTATTTGGAGCGTCTTTGCTTCTAAGCTCTCCTACTGGGAGCTTAAATCCCACCCCCCCGCCCCTGTACACGGAACTCCGGGAGCCCAGTGCGCCCAGCGCCGCTCCCAGACAGCCTACGCCTGGCCGAACGCTAGGCGGGGGGTCCGCCCGCCCCGGACTCCCGGGAGTTCGCGTGCAGGAAGCCGAGCCGGGTTGGGGTACCTGAGCCGCAGGAGCGCGCCTTCGGGTCTCGGGCCGCTCGCGCCCTGAGCCTGCCCGCCTCACCGCAGCGCGGCGGCAGCCTCGGGCGCCCGGGAGAGGCAGGGAAGCAGCGATGTCCAGAGGCCGGCCTTGCGGGGAGGCTGCAGGCAGGGGTCGAGGCCAGGCGGGGGCTCACCGCAAGGCCGAGGACGCCGCTCACCTAGGAGCCAGGCAGCTGGGCCAGGCGCCCGCGATGCTAATGTTCACTTTTGACCAAACAGAAGCGTGTGAAGGGGTCTCCCGCGCTGCTTCCCGGAGGTCCGTTTGAGGAAGGAGATGCTCTTTCCGCACAGCCAGGCCAGGAACAGGGAGCCCTGGGAGCAGGGCCCGGGCCGCGGCGGTAGCAGAAAGTCTCCCTGGAGCCGGAGGCTAAGAGCCGAGCAGCCCGGGCTCCTTCCCCGCCCCGACCTGCCGAGATTTCCGGCGCGGCCTGTGCGCCCCCGCCACACAATGTTATCGTGTCGCAGCCACTTCTGGTCACACCTGCACTGCAAATAGTTGACTTTTCTTTCCTCCCAACTCACAAGAGTAGGGGGAGAGACTCAGCTGGCGCCCCTCCCCCATCCCGGAGTCTGGCCGGCCCTACCTGACCCTGACCCTGGCCAGCCAAGCAGGGCTTTGGGGGGTCCGGGCTCGCCCAGGGTCCTCGGGGCTCGCCTCTCCTAGTTCACTTTTTCTCGAAAGCTGAGTGTGAGGCCGGGGCGGGTCCTGAGGCAGGACAGGGCCCCCACTCAGCCGCAACCTTCCCACCTCCGGCGAAACCGCCGCTTCTGCACACACTTCCCGGGCGGCCGGGCCAGGGGCCGGAGTCTCGGGGAGGCAGGAGGACCGCGTCCTTCTATGGGGGGGAGGTGGGGGTCTCAGTCCGTAGTCTCCTGCGGGAGCTGCGCTCCCTCCAGGGCTCCCTTCCCAAAGGGCGCTGGGAACACAGTTTCTGGCCTTCCCCGCGCTCCCGGCGGCTTCCTCCGGAAAGGGCGAGGGAGGCCCTGAGGTGGGCCACATCCTTCCCTCCTCCCGCAGGAGTGTCCCCCTCGCTCTGGTGCAGCTTGGGCTCCAGGGGCCCAAGAAGCCAGAAAGTAAAACCCGAAGGAAAATCGGCAGCCTTGTCGGGGCAGCGAGGGACCGGGAAGGTGGCATCCCCAGGCTGGAGCTTCATGGCTGGCGGGGCCTCTGCCTTCGCCCTCTGGCCCTTGGCAGGCTCAGCCTGCTGGGAAGGGGCCCGGACCCCTCTTTCCTGGAAGCTGCCTGGGGAGGGGGTCCTTCCAGGGGAAACTTTCAAAGGAGCCAAACTTCCAGGGCCTGTGAACCCGCCTGCCCACTCCGCGTGGGGTTCCACGCCCCTGGGAGGGCAGGATGACCGACGGCTTTTATTCCTAACACAAATATGAATACTAACAACAGGAACTTCCGAAGAACTTGACCTAAAAAGTGAACTGTCTCAGCCTCACTGGCCAGCTCTCCTGATGCCATTTCCCACTAACAGCACAACAGCCTCCACCTCCACCTCCATCTCCTGCCAACTTTCCTAGCGTCGGTCTCCTGGGGTAGCGCCCAGCGCAGCCTTCACAGCGCCTCTGGCAGAAGGGGCCCTGGAGGGTGTGGGTGGAATGTGAGACCCCGGAGGGCCTTTTTAATGCTTTAAATGTTCCTCCACGCTCCCTCCCAGGCCAAGGAAGGCTTGGGAGTGCAAGACTGACTCAGGCCGAGCCTCCGCCCTGGCTGCTGGGAGCCAACGCTTAGCCCTGGGGAAACCCGGCAGGTTCCTTGGTGTCATTAACCCTCCTCCACAGACACGCACACCAGCCTTTCAGCTGCCTAAGGCCTAGCCAACAGTCACGTTTCAGCTGCCTAAGGCCTAGCCAACAGGCACGGGAGAAACGTTTCATACTCTGCCCAAGGACAGAGTTAGGCCTCTTCCACAGCCCCGAGTGCAGGCAGGATCTCGAATAGAAAGGAAAAGCCCAGGACCTCGAGGAGCGCAGTGGCAAACACCAGTTGTGAGCTAATCCACAGGGTCAGGCCGGACTGCTGCTTCCCACCGGCTTAGAACTGGGAGCCCTTGACGCCACCCCATCCCCTCCAGTCCCAAGCGGGATTCAGTGCAGGCCTCTGAGCCGCCCCTCAACCAGGATTTGGGGTCCAGACCTAGGCGGAGACTGATAGCGACCTTCTTAGAGGCCCAAAATAGTTTCTCTTCTTTTCCAGGACAGGGGGCCGGACGAAGTTAAAATGAGGACAATTACAGAAAATTTCCTGGCCCCCTCTATACAGAGAACTATGGTCAGATATAACAATATATGGATATATGGATATTGTTATATTAAATCAAGGTTTTTTATTAGCCAAAGGTTTTTCAAACTGAGGGTTGCACCTGTTAGTGGGTAATGAAATCAATGTACTGGGTTGAGACCTTTCTTTGAAAAAATGAAATAGTAATCAATAGGAAAAATTAGATAGCATCGTATGTGGTAAAAGTTGGTTTTATGTCCTGAAAGTGTTTGTGTCAGTTATATATCTGTATGAACTAGGTAGTGGTCTGAAATGTATTTTTCTTGTGGGTCATTGGCAGAAAGTTTTTTTTTTAGTTCTGTATTACAGTCATTTTATTGCCTCTGTAGGATCAAATTGGTTTAGAAATCTATTATGTACATTTTAATCAGCATCAATACATACACAAGTTAAGGGAACCGGTTCGAGAACCACTTGTTGAGAGAGCCCACCGCAGTGTCAGTAAGAGCCTTGGGCCCCCCCTCCCGCCCCCCGCAGAAGGCAGCCAGGGTAGGGAAGCACACTCTCATGTCCTGTGTCCCGCAGGCAGTGCCTACTCCGCAGAACCCGAGGAGAACAAGCGGACGCGCACGGCCTACACTCGCGCGCAGTTGCTGGAGCTGGGAGAAGGAGTCCTGTTCAACAAGTACATCTCCCGGCCACGCAGGGTAGAGCTGGCCGTCATGCTGAACTTGACCGAGAGACACATCAAGATCTGGTTCCAAAATCGCCGCATGAAGTGGAAAAAAGAGGAGGACAAGAAGCGCGGCTGCGGGACAGCCGCCGGGAGTGGCGGGGACACGGAGCCGGAGCAGGACTGCGCGGTGACCTCGGGCGAGGAGCTGCTGGCGCTGCCACCACCGCCGCCCCCCGGGGGAGCGGTGCCGCCAGCGGTTCCTGCTGCGGCCCGAGAAGGCCGGTTGCCCCCAGGCCTTAGTGCGTCGCCGCAGCCCTCCAGTGTCGCACCCCTGCGGCCGCAGGAACATCGGTGAGAAGCGGGGTCTCTTCCTTGTCAGTGGCACCGACCACTCACAGAGGAGGGAGCGGGCCTAGGGCCCGGGCGAGGACCACTGGCCGGGCGGTTTGCTGGGGCCGGAACTGCGGCGCCCACCCTGACGGGAGGGGAGAAGCGCTCCGCGGGGCCGGGCCTGTGGGGGCCGGTGGGGCAGCGCTGGCTGACCTTCCGGAAGAAGGGACAGGTTTCTGTAAATCTGAGGCCTCTTCTGGTGATATTGTTGAATCGGCCTCGGCTGCCACTGTTGCGCAGGTCCCAGCACTCCACAACCAAGCACCTCGTTAGAGAAACCAACTCTTCAAAAGGAAAAACTGTACTAATTGGAACCCTCTCCAACACATGGCAGGCAGCTAAATGGAAGCTATTATCTGCCCAGAAACAGAGCCATTTTGATTCAGGTTTCTGCCTTAACATGTTAGAAATAATTGAAAGGAGGTGTCAAAGACCCAGTGAAATAGATGCCCTGAATAATCCAAGCCCCTTCTCCTTCTCTTCCTCCTCTTTCTTTGTTAACCTGCTTAGCACAGCCACATCCCCAGCGCACATCCTTTCTTCAACCTGCAGCTCTTCCCTCTGAAGAAGACATCTTGCAAGGGAAACTGGGTAGCAGCAGGGCTAGGGTATGGGGGCAGAGCAAGAGGCCCTGTATACCCGCTTGGTCCAACACTGCAGAGAGAGCAGAGAGTGAGAGGCCTGGAGCGAGGAGTTTAGGGGAGAAAGATAGACCCACAGGTGAGCTTTCTATTTCGATGTGCGTTTAATTACTGGTCTCAGGGCAGGGAGGCTGTCTGGAAGGCAAGCATGGTGGCCTGACCCTCCTTGGAATCTAGTCACAAAGCCAGCGTGATTTCCACATCTTTAGAAATGATAAAAACACATGTGGTTGAGGAGTTTGGGAAACTGGTTATTTTTATTTAATGTTGTAAAACTACCTAACAGTTTTTTAACAAATACGTCTATGGTTTCCAAGTCAGTTTTGGTTTGAGAGTCTGAGCCTTGCATGCAGGTGATGTTTGTGGAAAATGCTTAATAAATACGGATAACGTGGTTAAAGACGAAAACTGATTCCTTTCCTTTATGTCCAACCTTCATTATGGTGTAATGATTCCATTTCATTTTAAAAATTAAGGCAGCATGCATCTTTTTGGTACTAACTAGGGAAGAACCCATACTTAAGAAACACCACAGTTGGGTTTGGGGTTGGGGACGTGTGTTAGCATGTGGATTCTCAGTTTTGTTTTGTTTCATTTTTAACTTAAGAGTCACTGCTCAAGATGGATTTTGTCAGTAAGATAGCCCAGAGGCCTGAGGGTGGGAGTGTGGTTGGGTAGCGGCAGAACTGGTCAGAGCTTTGGCTGGGTCTCTTTCTTCCCGAGGAGCTGGTCTGGGAGAGGCCTTTTCCTTGAGCTCACCTCAGAGTCCTGCTTGGGAGAGTCCCCACCCCTGGAGCCTGAGGGCCAGAGTGTGGTGCTGAGGACAACTGGCCTGGGCCTTCCTGCTCCGCCTGCAGTTCACCTGTCTGAGCCCTCCCACCCTGGGGACCCTAGGCTGGCTCCCAGGAGTGGCTCCCAGTATTCTCTTTTGCAAAAAGACACGGGACTTGTTTGTGTTAGTGGTTGGGTTTTGCTTTTATTTTTGTTTTGTTGTTCTTGTTTCTGAGAGAAATTGAATCATTCACCCCTTGGTGGAAAAGAAAAGCGGTGGATCAGAAAGGGGAACTTTCTCATCAGTGATAGGCCTCACCGGGAGCCGGCCCTCAAACCGCAGCCTCCCCACCCCTCAGCCGACCCCCTGGACTCCAGAGTCCAGGAAGTGTGCCTTCACACTTTGTGATACTGGCCCATGACCCCATGCAATTATGCAACTTCCCTGTGTCAGTCTCCTCATCTGTGAAGTGGAGGTGAATTGTTAAACCAGAGAGCTCATGTGAAGCGCTTGATTCAGTATCTGGAAAGTAGCTCTCCCTCCACAACGTCACTCTAGTTTTATGAGCCTCATTGTTTTCGGGAGTGGGGGAGGGATGCTGCTGCAGAGATTGTCTTGGTCTAATGCCACCGGAGGGGCCTTTCCTTTGACAAATCCCCACGCTATCGCTGTTGATGTGACCGTAGTTATAACCCCTGCGCTCAACTGCGCACTTCGTCCGAAATAACCTCCTTTTATTTCCCGCATGACCTTCCCCAGGTAAGAGATGTCTTCGTCCTACACTAGGGAGGCGGATGCTGAGCAGCCCGGAGGGCCAGCTGGGGCTCAGCAGTCCCCCGCGGAGGAGCCGAGCTTGGTCCTCCCGGTGGGGGAGGTGGGCCAAGGAGGTTTCCGGGCTCAAGGCCCGTTGTCCTCCGGGGGCTCCGGTCCCACCTAGGCGTAGCGCGCTGCTGGCCAGGCGCCGCCTCTCCTCCCGGATTCCAGGGTTCCTCGACCCAGGGAGGAGTGGTGGCGGCCGGGGTGGGGAGGGCGCAGGTGCTCACTGGGCCGGGCGCTCGGCCCCAACTGTCCACGCAGGGCCTGGCCGCCGGGATTCCCTGAAAGCGCCCTGGGCTGCTCTCCGGGCTGCCCGCGCCTCCCTCGGAGAAGGCTGCCGGCCGGCCTCTCAGCCTCCGCTCGGCACTGAGCTCTCCACAAAATGGGCTCAGAACGAGGATGAAATTAGACGGTGTGTTTGAAGCGTTTATTACGCGGCCCGACGCAGTAGGCAGGGAAGGGTGCTGGGGAGGTGGTATTGCGAGGACAGGCCGGCCTTCCAGGGGGACCCTGGGGAGGCAGCCGAGAGCGAAGCCCGGCTGGCCAGGCGGCCTGGAGGAGAGGACGATGCTCTGGCTGTGAATCCAGCTCTGCTCAGCCGCACCGGGCGGTCCCCCGAGGGAGCAGGCGTGAACCGCCAGCCACAGGGGCTTCCCGGCTCCCAGAGCCGCAGAGGTGACGGCCTCCCCTCCTCACGCTGAGCGCCTCCTCTCCAGCGGGAAACACACACGGGGCCTCCCAGGGCGCGAGGGAGAGCAGGTCCCCGCGGGGCGCGCGCAGGCAGCTCCGGGCGCAAAGTCGCGCCGCCTGTCCTGTGCCGGGGACCCCGGGACCCCGGGACTGTACCGAGCGAGGGAGTCCAGGGGCTCTCCCGCCGGCACCTCCATTCCCGAAGATTCTCGGAGCTGAAGCCACAAGCCCCATCATTTCTGCCCGAATCGCTGGCAGGAGGTGAGGTCCGTTCGGGGAGGCCGCGGGGCGCTGCGAACGGCGTGACGCCGGCTGAGCCCCGAGACCGGCCCCGCGCTCCCCGCGCTCGCGGAAGCTGCAGCAGGGCCCGCTGTGTGCAAGCGGCTGGTCCCGGGGTTCGGGGGATTGTGTGGGGTTCCCCGCCACACTGCCTCTCCCACAGAAGCCGCCGAGAGAGTGGGAGCGGGGATCGGAGACCCGGGAGCGCCTGGCAGGCGCGGGCGGGACCCTGAGCTGCGGGACTGAGTCCTGTGATCATGTGGCACCGAACAGCGCCCACAATGGCGCGGGCAAAACAGCAACAACACCCCTTTTCTTTTGCGATATGTCTCTCCTTGTAGGTTGACTAAAGAATTTCTCACCTTAAAACCTAAATGCACCCCTGGCCGGTGTGGTTCAGTTGGTTGGGGCGTCATCCTGTACACGGAAAAGTCCCGGAATCACGGGTTCGATTCCCGGTCAGGGTACATACCCAGGTTGCAGGTTCATCCCCAGTTGAGGTGCGTGCAGAATGTTTCTCTCTCATATTGATGTTTCTCTCTCTCTCCCTCTCTCTTCCTCTCTCTTTCAAGTCAATAAAAACATATCCTCGGGTGAGGATTTTTAAAAAGCTAAAACCATACTTTGCAATAACATCTGAGAGCTGCTGATTGTTTCAGGTTCAGCCTATCGTTTGTTAGCAGGTTCCATGCGGGGAGTTCACTGGCACTTTTCAGACCAGCGTCTGAATGGATTCAGCAGCATTTATCGGGCTTCGACTCTGGGCCGTGCTTGCCGGGAGCGCTCACAATTTTTAAAAAGCCGGGTCATAGCGATTGGATTGACTATCAGCGAATTTACCGGAGTAAATAGGAGTCAGTTGGGTTCCCCAAATTTCTCCTTTTGAACAACAAAGACAGTTGGTTTTGATTTCCCAGAATACTCTGGCCCCTTCATCTAGTGCTGTCACCCTCTCCACATCCTCTCCTTCAGCCAATTCCGTTCAGTGCGTTCAGGACGGCCATCTCTCAAGTGTCTAATGACATTGCTGCCATGCAAACCATCTACTCAGGTAGCTGCCTCAGGTCTTTGTGTTGACATGTTTAACGCAGGAAACGCTGTCTTTAGAAAACATAGGTTAGAACTTCGGTAGAAGCTGACATGAAGGATTTCATTTTTTTTTTCTTTCTAAGAAACAAGTTCAAAACTGAGGTCTTTCATAGAAACCCTCCTGAGGAAGGGTCAAAAGAGGAAAAATTCTGGGTTGGCACTGAACCAAATTTTACTCAAACCCAACGCTGACAAGCTAGATGTGGGAGCAAAACATCTAGTGGGAAACTGAGGCAGAGCAGCAGGAAGCATCAAAGAAAGTGGTGCAGACTCCGTTCAGGAAACTGCTCCCTGGGCAGCTGGAGCGGAGCCGGGAAGGGACCTGAAGACAACTCTGGGGAGGAAGGGAGGTTACGCTCTGTAAACAGTGGCTCCCAACAGCTGTTCTAAGAGAGAAAGTGACTGGCTGATGTGTATCTCTTGGGCTAACTAGTGATAACTCCCCAATGCCAGGTTCTCGGGTTAAAATGTGCTACGTTTCAAAAAAAATAAAATAAAATAAAATAAAATAAAATAAAATGTGCTACGTTTATAATCAAGAGCTAGAATGGGCATAATAAAATGCTATTACTGTTTGTTTCACTAAAATTATTTTTCTCTATAAACAAAATGTCATGGCCTTTGAAAACATAGATAGCTCTAGCCTGTTATAATTTTATAAAACATTTTATAATTCAACTTCAAGTTGAATTGCTTCAAGTCATTCCACACAGAGCATATGAACACCTTAAATATAGGGTGTCCCCA